CCCCCGCCTCTTCCCAGCCGGGGGGCTGGCAGCTTCCCACGCGGGCGATGGAGTGGAGCCTGTGCAGCCCTGTGCGCACCCTGCAGGGGAGGGCAGGAGACTGAGCCAGCCTGCCGCCAGTCTGGGAGGTTGGCTGACGTCAGCTCAGGAGAGCAATTGCTTTTTCCTGGCTGACTAACGAAAGGAAAGTTACTGGGGAAGAGGACTTTCTTTCGAGGAGCCCTGCTAAGCATGGCAAGGAGATGGGAGCAGAGGGAAGCTTTCAGTGTGGTCCCGCTGAGCTGGGGAGGGGCAGGACTAAGACCATTGGCAGCCTAGCCACAGATAACAGAAACAGGAAACCTTAATTTCGAGAAATGAGAGGCACAAAGATACACTGCACCCGGGGAGTGCTGGTTCAGTTGTTTGGGTGAAAAGAAGTAGGACTGGCCAGAGGGCAGGCCTCCTCCCTGGGGTACCTGGAGCCCCGAGGTCATGGTCCCTCTCTGGGCCACTCTGTGTCCTTGAAAGTTTGGTGGACATAAGGCGTGGAGCAAACGAGGCCTGAGCAACCTCTCCCAGCACTGGGCAAAAGGAGAAGTTCTGGAGCCTGAAATCATCACTGAGAAATGCCAATTGTACCCCAGCAGTCAAAGCAGTTGTATTCACCACATGCCTGGGCGATCAGAGCGTGCCTGACCTCTGCAGGGGCTTTCGGGGTACCCACAAGCTGGCTCTCCCCGGCCTCAGCTCTCTGATGGTCAGTGTGGGTTGATGGCGTGTTGTTAAAATGAAGCACTCTGCCCACCTGCACCCCCCCTCTAAAAGTCAGGGTGTCATCTTGATTTGATGGAGGATGTGTAAAGCAGCCCAAAGGCGTCTCCAGGCCCTGAGCTGAGCACAGCCAAAGCAGAAAGGAGTCGTTCGGTGACATCCTTCGTGTGAGTGGAAGCCCAGTGGATGGATTGGTCATCCCTGAAGCTGGATGGTGGGCATATGGGACTTCAGTAACACATTCTAGGATAAATCGTTCCAGTTTTTTCAAAATAACATCTGTTCTGTTAATTTGAATAGAAATATAAAAAGAAATATTTCTGAAGGAAATGGGGGCAGTTTTAATTGGCTAGAGATAATAGTATAGATCAGAAAGCTACCTCCAACTCCCTTAACTGACAAGGTAGGAAATTTGTAACAAGGGAGGAATTTGTCAGGTTAAGAAGTCTTATCCTCCAGCCCTTTTGTCTGGAGTCATTCCCGCTACCCAGCACGCCACAGAGAGCTCATTTTTAAAATATATCTTTCAGGAGCACATTCCTTTGTATGTACACAACGTGAAAATAACTGGAAGTAATAGAACTGCAGGCATTCGTTGCATTTTGATTATGTGCCAGACACTGCAAGGAGCCTGAGTGATAGACGCCATTGACTTTTAAAGAGCTGACATAGGAGAGGGAAAGGGAGAGCAGTGTGACTGTAAAACAATAAGACTGTGATTAAAGTCCACGCCTGAGCAGGAGGGAGGGGCTACAGGGTGGCAACCTAAAGAGCAGCCACCTGCCAGCAGGCGGACATGCGTGAGGCTCTACCCAGCCTGCAAATCCTGGACTAGGAAGTAGTAAGGTCAGTGTTGGCAGACACAAAAGCAGAAGAGTCAGAGCATGAAAGAGCTCGTGTTCAGGCCAGTGGGTTGCTTGGAGCTGTACTTTGGAACATGCCATTGATTTTTGGCTGGTGAGTGGTGTGGTCAGAACTGCCCCTGATGCTCATACATCAGCTACGGTGTTTTCAGTTGCAAGCAGTAGAAAACGCAGCTGCTGTGGGTTTGAATGTGTCCCCCAAAGGTTGGTGTGGAGGAAGCCTGGCCCCCCGGGTGCATGTGCAGCGCCTGTGAGGGCTGGGGCCGGAAAAGGGTCCCCAGGTCACAGAGCCCACTGCTTCTGGGAAAGGTTGGTGCAGTTCTCTGTGGCCTCCAGTCTGGGATGTGACCGCTCATCCCACCCGTGCTTCTGCCATTGCCATCTGCCTCGATGCAACACAAGCAAGGCCCCAGCCAGAGCTGCATCTGCACCTGCCCCATGCCCGGAAGCCTGCAAAACCTACTTTAAAAGCTAAATACCTGTTTGCTTTATAAAATCAGCCTACCTCCGACATTTCATTATAGTAATGAAAACTGGACCAATACAGTGGCTTTAACCTAATTGATCGGACCTGGAAAACATTGTGCTAAATGAAATGTTAGTCACAAAAGGAAAAATACTACACGATTCCACTTACGTGAGGTCCAGAGGAAGTCGATTTATAGAGGCAGAAAGTGGAATGGTGATTTCCAAGGGCTGTGGAGTTCCTGTTGAACAAGGGCAGAGTTTCAGTTTTACAGGATAAAAAAAAAAGCTCCAGAGGTGGCTGCTGGTGATGGTTGCACAACAGCTGAGTGTCCTCAGGGCCACTGAACTGTACAGTGAAAAAGGTTACAGTGTACATTTTATGTTGAATTGGATCCTAAGAAAAAAAAACCCCAAACATGGCTTACACCAAATCGAAAACACATCCTTTCATAACAGATCTGTAGGTAGCAAAGCTTTGAACTGTGTTCACTGCAGGTTCACCAGTATCAGAAGGAACCAGGCTGCTGCTGTCCGTACAGCCCGTCTGCCCTGGTGAGGCAGCTGCTCGGTCCGAAGTCACGTCACTTCTGAGAATCGGGCTCCGAGCACAGGCGTCACTCCACACTGTGACTTCCTGTGGAGATGGCCCTGCTGCGGCCTTCGCCCCAAGTCAGTTCAGTCTACACAGGGAAAAAGAAAAGCCCACTGTCCGCTTAGAATGAGGGAACCAAGCCTGGAACTTCTTGTTATCTGCAGGGGGAAAACTAAGTTTAGGAACTGTACACGTATGCGTCCAGTGGAAGTCAGAATAGAAAGCTGTGCACTGCGTGACTCCAGGTGTGTGTGTGTGTGTGTGTGTGTGTGTGTGTGCGCACGCACGCGTGCACCACCCTGTGATCACTGCTAATGGCTTCCTAATTGCTCTACCACCCCACTCCTTCCTTATTTCACTGACTTTGGACAAATTGAGCTCTCAGCACACACTGAGACCAACAGATGTGCCTTCTCAAGTTTTTTTTTAATTGAAGTATAACACACATATTTGATTTTTCACACACGATCGGGGGAGGATGCAGTTCTCCCGTGCTGTGGCAGTGACTGCAGTTATCATGGCTGTGTCATAGTCCCTTGAATGAATATACCAGAATTCCACTCTGCTGCTGATGGATGTTTAGGTTCTTTCTAGTTTGGAGACTTATAAATAATGTGCCTCTTCGTGGACATAGGATTTCTCTCTCCACCCAAGAGGGTCATTGCTGGGTAGTCGGGCATCCTGCAGACCTAGACCCACATACGATGTGTGCTCGTCTCATGAGAATCTCCTGTGTCCTCCAAGTCTGAGCAGCTGCCCGTGCCCATGTCTTTCTGTGTCGTTTTCTTTCTCTTGCTGTACAGCGAAGCCCGAGTGGAACAGAAGCAGTGATAGTAACACAGGAGAAAGTGAAGAGTCACCCTTGGGCGTTCTTCAAGCAGGCAGCAGCCTGGACAGAGTCCAGGAGCTGGAGGCTGAGTCTGAGTAAACTTTTGGATCTTGCCGGGACCGGTACCTGTGTGCAGCTGTGCTGCCTCCATCACGTCAGCTTCTTGTTTTGTTGTTTGTCCTAAGTTATCGATTTAAGTCAGTTCACATTGCTTTTATTGAGACATAGCAAGAAATACCTAACAGGTCTCTGCCCCCTTTTCTTACACAAAGCTCCGGAAGCCCTTGGAATTTCCTCTTGGTGGAACCCTTGATGGGCACTGGTCCCCAAGGAACTGAGCCTTGCTTAGAAGCTTGGAGCTCTCTGCTTCGCCCCATTCTGGGGGGCAGTGGCGGCTGGAAGTTGAGTTAATTGATCCTGCCTGCACAGTGAAGCCCCATTAAAAATCCCTAAAATCCTGGATTCCGAGAGCTCTCTGGCTGGTGAACGCATCCACCTGCCGGGAGGGTGGCACAGCCTGCACCTGGCTGTTCATCTGTACCCTTTGTTGCATCCTTTAATAAACCAGTGAACACTGAGTGAATGTTCCTCCGAGTTCTGCAAGCCCTTACAGCAGGTGTCTCTGGTGAGGGTCTGTGGGAGCCCCCAAACTAGCCACACCAGACAGAAGAAACCGGGTAGACCCACATGTACGAGTGATGTCTGAAGTTGGGGAGAGCTTTGCAAGGCCGAGCCCCAGCCCCATGGGGCCTGTGCCAACTGAGCAGCGGTGTCAGATCTGTGTTAAGTTGTGGGACACCCGGTTGGTGCCCACAGAGCAGCAGAGGATTTTGTGGTACGGAAACCCCACCTTTCAGCAAACTCACCTGTCTGATGGCCGAGGAGGGAGAGACTTGCCCGGGACCGCTTCTGTGCCTTGAACTCTGGCGCCAACCTGGTTGGTTGCGCATACCTTAGCTCACAGGGCCGTGCCGGGTGATCCGGTACCCTGGACGTCCTTTGGAGTCCAGGGGTCTCACACGGTAGGTCCCCGTCCTCATTCTCCTGCAGTGCCGCTTGAGGGTCTGAAGCAGTGAGTGTGCACATTCCCCGTGGGTCACATACCACATGCTGTGGTAGCACCAAGGAAAGAGACTCATTTCTCCCCACACAGCAGTTGCTGTATTTTCATGCAGCTTGAATTCAACATAATAAAAACGTTCCAAACTTATTAAACTGGGACTCCGTCTGGAATGGGGTTTGGCCTTTGAAGGAGCGCGCGCGGGAGGAGGCAGTTGCTGACGTGGGAAGGTTACACTACAGGGACGCTGATTAGACCTCTCTGTACTTTGGCTTCTCCGCAGGAGTTGGCACCAGGAACTATTATAGGAAGATTGGCTACCGATTACAAGGCCCGTACATGGTGAAGACGCTAAAATAATGGCCGTTGCAGTCCCCCTTCATCAGCGCCCTGCCAGCAGAAGAGTGCAGAGCGGCAAAGCAGACCTCCACTGTCCTCTGGTAGAACCCTCCCCTCCTGTGACTGCAGTGACTGGAAGCCGCCTTCGGAGCTGGGCCACAGCAGCCACCCTCACCTGTGTGTGCCCAAGAAGTCGCTTCAGTTTTTAAGGTTTAAGTCATTTCTCTAATTTTCATAGTCTGCATGTGGGCTGCAAATGACCTGTATCTACTCAGTGACAAAAGCAGAACAGCTCATTTGGATAGCACAGCTCGTGAAGTGGGATTCGTGACAGTCATTTGAGGAGCAGCCTTGGGAGGAAGCTGTTTATGTACTCTAGGCATGAAAGTCAGGTTGGGACGGATAAAACCATCACGCTTGGCCCCCTGGCCTGTAACTACATAATGCATTCACCCAGGAGTTAAGAAAATGAGCTTTTCTGTTAATGGCAATTGTTCCCATTACCATGCTGACGCTTTGACAGAAGGCTGACAGGGAAAGAGGAGTCAGGTGAGGGTTTTGTGTTAAACCCGATAGCAGCTGTCACCAGCCCCTGCCATCTGGGAGTGTGCCCCCTGCTGGCCATCAGAGCCTCCTGTGCCCAGGCATGGCTGTCTTACTTCTTGTATGCTGCTGATGCAGAACAGTGTGGAGAGCCCTGGACTGTCCATTTGTCCATCCTGAGCAGTCAGGCGAGCTTCGCCTCCGGCCACAGAAGCTGTCCCCTGCACTTCATTCTTGAAAGTGGATGTTGGTTTGTGTTAAGGGGAGAAAGATAAAACTTCAGCTCATCTGTGAAAGCAACAAAATGGAAAGTGGACTGGAATGTAAACATCGGGGTATGATTATTGTTTTCAGAGGACCATCTCGTAGAGCTGCTTCTCAAGCCCTCAGGTAACCTGCTAAGGAGCCTTGGCCTGCACAGGGGCAGCTCCTGTCGGGACAGCGTGGCTTCACCCTGATTCCTGGGTTCTGTCTGTGTCACTCATAAAGTCTAAAGGCCTGAAAATAAAAGTCTTCAATGTAGAGTCATGTGGTTTGGTTTTTGGTTTTTCTACTCCCTATAAATGCAGTGACATCTGCCTTGAGTTTACAGGTTCCATTTTCCAACCTGTGACACTACTCATTTTCTCCTGTGTGCTTTTTGCCATTTCATTAAGCTGCTGCAAGGCAAATGGCCTGGCTTTCTATGGGCGCACTGGGGCGCTCCGGCAGCATTCCGTAGGTGTGGCCTAGGGAATTTAGCTACTTCTCAATTAGGCTCTTTTTCCCTATAAAAGTAAAACTGTTTAATACAACACTGGCTGTCACACACACATTCCAGGACACAGCCTGCCACCTACAGCTTGCCTTGGGGACACAAGGGTCTCAGGGCCTCCATTTGCCCATTTCTTCATTCATTTGGGTCTAATCACACAGTGTCCCAGAAAGTCCTTTGTGAAGCCCTCGTACAAAGGCTCATCCATACGATGCTCACATAGAAGATGACAACTCAAAGCAGTAGGTTGACCCTCATGCTTGCCTTCTAGTCAGGATACGTGCTCCAGCCCACCCTCACCTCCTGCCACCTTAGAAGCCACTAGACTCATGGCTTCTCGTGACTGCAGGGCTTTTCCTGGCCAAGGAAAGTCTCCTGAGACTCAGCCACAGGCCGCCTCGTGAAATGAGTCAGCCAGCCAGGCCTGATGCTTCCAATCCATGTTACATGACTGCTTAGCAACCCTCCAGCTTTTAGCTCAGCGTTTGCCTACGTCACCCGAAGACTTTAAAAAAGCCATTATGATAAGCAGACTGAAATGCATTTGAGTAGAAAGAGATTCTATGAATATGTTATCACCAAGTGAAAAGTCCTAGTAAAGCTCTTTGTTTCTCCCATTTAGGAACAAGCAGACTCATCTTCCGTTTCCCATCCCTGCTGATGGAAAAGAGTACTGCAAGTACAATCTAAACGCCAAAATCTCTTCTCTGGAAATAGCTTATAAATTGCAAATTTTCATTGCTGAGAGTATCTGGGTTTTTGGTTTTGGTTTTTTGTTTTTAAGATTTTCAGCTCATTGAAAACACAGATTTTGTTCCCCAAGAGCTCGCAGACCTCTTGAGTTCACAGGAAGAGCTGGAGCCCTGGCTCTGGGAACCTGGGTTTGTCATGCACAGAGAAGGGGGAAGTGTCCTCACCTTCCTGGGCTTCGGTTCTCCCATCTGTGACCTGAAATCAGCCACCATTGCTCAGGAAAAGTGAGAAATATCACTGAACGGTGATATTTTATGAGCAGTGGTTTCTATTTTAATGAAGCAGTTTCTTTCCACTGTGTGACCTTGGACAAGTAAACTGCATTGTTCCTCATCTGTAAAACAAGAGTAACAGCATCGCCTTCCTTGTATGTTAAATGGCCCATGTATATCAGGTTCTTAGAACAGGGTCGGTCTGTGGGGCATAAACCACAAGGGAAGCACTAGTGTTACTGACATCTAACAAGTATTGGGCCCTTTTCTTTGGGGAGGGAGTTTCTAATCAGCTGGTAACAGAATCTCCTTTTATTTTTCTGGGCTAAGTTTTCATGGAAAGCATCTGGTGCGGAGGCCCTGCCTCTCCATCCTATAGTCGGCCTTCGTCCTCCACTCACGGAAGTCTAGCATTGCAAATTGTCCAGTGCATGCCCTAGGAGACGAGGTACTAGCTAAGGTGGCAGCAGGAAAAAGCTTCTTTAAATGCCAGTGTCCCTTGGGGCTTCCCAGAAACTGTCCAGTGCCAGAGTGCTTGGCTGAAGCTATGTCCAGCAGCATGACCCCTAAGGGAGTCCTCTGCCATTGGTGGCAGGAGCAGGCGAGTGTCTCTGTAGTAGTGTCACCTACACCAGCAGTGCCTTCGTGTTTCTGAGGCTTAGAACTCCCGCTAAAGTGGTGACTCAGCCAGCCTTTCTTGCCGCGCTGTGCCACACTTCCTGCTTGAGAGTCAGGAAGTAGAGTTTTCGGTCAGCCCACCCTGAAGAGGCTGTACATGGGTACTGTGCACCAGGTGCTAAGCACTGCTGTCACAGTTTATTTCATCCTCACACCAGCTGGTGAGGAAGGTCTCGTCCAGCTTTTGCACCCAGAGGGAATGGACGTGCCGATGACTTCATTAGAGAGAATGAAAAGGAAGCAGAGTCTGCTCTTTGTACTTAACAAGAATAGCCTAAACATTGTAGATGTTCGCTCTAACAAATGTAAAAGGGACCAAAAAGCACTGTGAGCTGAACACCAGCAAAGACGACTGTTTCTACACTGTTGCTGGTGCCCCCCCAACCACTCCCTACATGTGGACACACACACACACACACACACACACTAAGTTTATAAAAAGCAGCCACACTGTGCGGAGTCAGTAGAACACCCGGCAAGCGTCTTCCCGTGTCAGGATAGATCTCTTCCCCCTTAGCAATGACCACCGATCACCCACTGTCTGCAGGGGTGCTATGGCTTGGATCCAGTTCATGTGTTGGAATTTAATCCCCAACACAGCTGTGCTAAGAGGGGGCCCTTGAAGAAGTGGTGAGGTCTCCAGGGCTCTGCCCTCCAGAATGAATTGTAGAGTGGGTTCCTGAGAAAAAGGTGGATTTGCACATGATTCTTGCCTTTTTTGTTTTTCTTTTTCCCTTTTGCAGGCCTTTGCACTAAGTTATATACCAGCCCTTTTTAATTTTGAGACAGGGTGTCACCAAGCTGCCCAGGCTGGCCTCAAACTTGCAAGCCTCCTACCTCAGCCTCTCTCATGTACCACCATGCCCAGCTGCTTCTTGCCCTTCTGCTTTTCACCATGGGATGGCACAGCAGGAAGACCCCGCAGAAGCAGGCCCTTTGACCTAGGACTTCCAGCCTTCATAACTATAAGAAATAAATCTTGGTTCATTATAGAATACCCAGCATCAAATGTTCTGTGAGAGCACAAGACCAGCTTTAGGTGCCACAATTTAAGGAGGCAGGGTTTGTATCTAATCCCTGTGGGTTCTCACTGTCAGAACACTTAGGATCAGGTTTTAAGCACAGGACTGCACAGATATGCAGATTGAACCCTAAGATTCGCTTTACATTTTCTTCCTAAGCATGTTCACTCATCCAAGGCCAGTGTCCTCTGTCCCTCCCTAAGGTTGTCCGTGACCTTCCTACTCCTCACATGTGGCCCATCTCATGGGCTAGGAGGGAACAAGCCTCTCTGGTGCTCGGCCTCTCTCATTCAGAAGGTAGCAGCACCCTGGATCATGACCAGTCCCATCACACAAAATGTCAGGGCGCCTGCTGGCTGGGAGGCACTGGAGTGTGAACATCCTTTATTGAGGTCAGAGGTGACCAATCCTCCCTCTCCTCCCTTGATGTAAGACCTCAAGTCCTGGCCATCCTGTGCCAGCTGCAGCACCCTGGAGAAAGTCATCTTCTTGTCTCAGGTTAGAAAATGCGCGCATGGGGGAGACATGATGGTACCTGCTGTCACCACCAGGGCAGGCAGGGGACAGGATGTCAGCATGAAACCTACTCCCACCACACTCAGGAAAAGCAGCCTGGTGTTTAGCCACCAGGGTTCTGGGATTGCTGCTGCCTCTGGCCAGTTCTGTAGGGACAGGATGTGGACACCTCATGTTCAGGCAGTGGGCAGAGGGTCACCCACATCTACCCAAAGAAAGAAAAGGACAGGAGCCCTGGACCAGGGACAGGGGCTGTGTGTGTTGAGCAGCATACCTGCCCAGAGTCCCTCATGACCACCCTGGGAGGGGTGAACTGTGGTCAAACCAGAGAAGTGACGAGCCAGGCCATGAGGTAGCCAGTGAAGAGCTGGCTGTGAAGGCAACAAGTTGATATTGGCACACTTGCAAGGTTTCAATGATTCTCATACCTGGGAGCAGAAGTGGTGCCAGGGTTTCTAAAATAAAGGTTCAGGGCTGGCAGGAGGGTTGGAAAAGGATCAGACTTGAAGCAGACAATGTTCACCCCACCCCAGATGCCCAAGCCCCACTTGGGACAACTGCCAATGAGCTCTCTCAAGGGGGTTCCCTTGACAAAACAGCCAGAAGATGAAGAGTGTGGAAGCGGGAAACAAGGAACAAAAGAGGCAGGGGCAGAACTGGAACAAACACTGAAAGTCACTGTCATAGAAAGCAATGGACACTTCTGAGTTAAAAGGAAGACTCAATCCACCTATCTCATTTTCTTTTTTCCAGCACACAAGATAGAGGTGAATGTGTTCTCTTAGTAACACATAAGCAGGATATGGCAGTGCATACCTGTGATCCTAGCTTCTCAGGCTGAGACAGGAAGATCACAACTTCAGGGCCAACCTGGACAATGTAAGGAGAACCTGACTCAATTTTAAAAATAAATTAAAAGGGATGCAGTGGGCTGAAGGCAGTCCAGATTGAGCATAGGCTGCTTGAGTTCCTGGGCTGCATTTGGCATGCATTCAGGTCGAAAATATAATTAATTTGGAGTCTACCTTTGGCTAAGCTATTAGACCTCAGACATCTCAGAAGATGGTAGAATGGTGACTAGCAAAAAAGCCTCTCCTAGATTTGGTATCCAGACACTGGAATATAGCCATATAAGCAAGAGAAAAAGGAGGGAAGTGGGTCCAAGAGACCCAGGATGGATCTGAAATGAGAAATGACACCAATGGGGAGAGCAGAGAGACTTCAGTGCTGAAGGAGGTGGCAAGTGGTGCTTCCTCCTTGAGCCCTGACTCACTTCATGAGAGGGATGCCTTGAACTAGCAGCTGTAGAGTGACTACTGGCAACCCCAGAGACCTCCACAGAGAAACACACTAGTGGAATGTAGCACTGGATGCAGCAGACTGCAATGGCTGGTGAGTTATTCAGGTTCATTTGCCCCCCAAGAGAGGGCAGTTGGCCAGCAGCCACCTTGAAGAGGGGAAAACTGAGCTCAGAACTCAGAGCAGCTGCAGTCTGGCTCCATCTAACAGCTCCCAGTGTGAGGATGAGATGGAATCAAGTTCATCGACAGGAAGTCAAGGAACCAAGTTGAAGCTGGTAGGAGTCAC